GGACAAATTGGAGAGAGTCCAGCAGAAGGTAACAAAAATGGTGAAGGGCCTGGGGGACATGACTTATGAGGAAAGAATGGGGGAACTTGGCTTATTTAATCTAGAGATGAGAGGATGGAGAGCTGACTTAATAGCAGTCTTTGATTACCTGAAGGGCAGTTTGAAAAAGGATGGAGCTACACTATTTCAGTGGTGTCAGATGATAGAACAAGGAGCAACATTCTCAAGTTGCAGCAAGGGAAGTTTAGATTAGATAATAGGAAGCATTTTCTCAGTAGGAGGGTAATAAAACACTGGAACAGGTTACCCAGAGAAGTGGTAGAAGCTCCATCCTTGTGGGTTATTAAAACTTGGCTGAATAAAAGTTTGGTTGGGATGGTCTAGTTGGGGACGGTCCTACTTTAAGCAGGGGGTTGGACTAGATGACCTCCTGAGGTTCCTTCCAACCCTAACTTCCTATGATTCTATATACAAATGTATTATATGATGTCATAATACTCTTAGTATGAAACTTTCAGTTTTCTGCTAAAATAGGGAAACATTCAGAAGTATTGGGTATTGCACATGCCTATATACATATACACACACATTTGCACGCACACAACCTGTACATTCAAGTAGAATTACCTTTTGTAAGAAAATGATCAAAAATTACTTCAGAGGAAATAATGGGCTGCATTCATCCTTTCTCTTCACTGAGGATGATTGTCCCAGTGAGTCCTATTAGGTAAGGCTGTGCCTGCACATTTCAATAATCTGGGAAAATTCTCCCAGGTTTGTCCTCCTGGTGAAGAATTTACCCAGAGAAATGTGCAGAAACATTCAAAAGCTGAGGACCTGAAGAGTGGAGAGATTGAAGTGTTGACACTGCTGCTGGGTGGCGGGGAGGAGAGGGCCTGTGCCCACATCTTGACATGCTGTGCAGGCTCCCTTAGTTTTCCCAGCAACAGATGACAATGTCCACGGGTGACTCTAGCATACCTATGCTGGCATCCACTGAACACCAGACAGCCACAGTTCTTAGTCGCCCACTTATCTTCACCCACCACAACTTGTAATTTTAGGAACTAGAGGGCTACATCTGGTTTCTTCTGTGTAGCTTAGACCTGGTCTCCATCTTAGGTTTGCTCTGCAGGTCTCCTTCATCCCTACACCCGACTCCCTTACCTCACATGGATGAGTTAAGTCCTTGTCTCTCTTTTTAATTCCTTTTTAGCTTTGGTTTAACTCTAATAATGGAACAGGAGATAAGTAAGAATAAAAGTAAACAACTAGGACAACAACCCCATCCTCAAGAGGGTTGTTGAGTCCCTCAAACATTCTGTTTATTATACCCCCGGAGTTTGTCTCTGACACGTTCAGGTCAACAAAACATCCGCTCCTCAAGTAAACAATTGACTACAGAACCAATCTCTGGTTTCCCTTCAGTTCTTAGACCCCAAGAGAGAGTGCTCCATCCTGGGCTGAGGGTTCTGCTTTCCTGTTTCTTCTTTCTGTCTGGGCCCTTTTTAATCCACTAACCATGTGCGTGATCCTCTCACTGTGGACCCAGGGAGAAGCAACTCTGGCGTGACGCTTATCCGTCAGCTATCTGGCCTTCTGTCTCCCTCTCCTGCAGTGTTCAGCTGGCTGGCTTTTATTTCTGGCCTCGCTCAGCTTCCCCATTGCTGGGACAACCCCTCTAGGCAGCTAGAGCTTGTGAGGTGAGCTCTGGCACACTTGGGGAGCTGCCTGCCTGTTTTCAGAGTTGCTTTGTCTCATAGCCGGTGGCAGTGTTCCTTACTCGCTCCCTGGCTGCCCCCTCAGGTGAGTTCCTGCTTTTCTATAGTTCCTATTACAGACGGTAGTGCATATGGTAGCCCTCACTGGCTGGATCAGACTGCCCATGGTAGCCTGTGTTTCTCTGCAGCATAGTCCAGTGAATAACACGCTATCTCGAGGTGGGGAGGATGCTAGAGGCCTGTGTTCTTTTCTATAGAGAAATCACATGTACAGACATTCAGTCTCCCAGGAGAAGCTGTCCTGGGAGTGATTTAACCATGGTTGTTCCTAGATTATATTTCTCTTGGAGTGGCCATTTTTACTCTGGGAGAAAAAGCCTGCACATCTGTACATTTGTGGTTTTTCCTGGGAGATCAATGACTCATTCAGGAGAAACAATGGTGTACAATATTCAATTGATGTTGGAAACCATAACATTCAAGAAAATATAAAATAAGTACAAAAATACAGACACACACGTTAAAATAACAACAAACCTTTTGATTGTATTTTAACCTTTAGGAACAAAGGTAAAAAAACAAGTTGCTTGGGTTATTAGGTAATAAATTTTATGTTATGTTAATCTTATTGCAAATTTTTCTAAAGACATGCTTTCTAATCTCTAATTCTAAGGCCAAAAATGTAAGAAATTAATATCCACTGGGCATGTCTACACATGCATTAATGTGCCTTTGCTACTGCACATTAAGTTTAATACCTCTAATATGAGGTGCTACATAAATGCACAGTAGCAAAGGCACACAGTGTTTTTCTGACACTTAATGCACAGTAGACTAATTCTACTGTGCACTAGCACAATAGCATGGCTTGTGTAGGTATGCCTACTTAGTACCTACATAAAGTGGTCTAATTTTGGGGCATGCTGAATACTCTGTGTTTCCACTGGCCAAAAGGTTCATAATCCCCATTTCTGATTATCAATTGACCATAAGTTTTACATATGGCTTAGGTGTTTACATATGGATCTAGATGCCTGTGCTGGGCTAGTATTCTTATCTACATACATGTTAAATCTACAAAATGTTGCTTTTTTTTTTTTCTTTCTTTAATCACATATGGGGAAAAAACATTTATGGAAAGCTTTTCCAGAAAAAAAAAATTCTATTTCATGCTTCTTTCTTTTATATCACAGGTCTAACACTGGACATACTTTCAAACACCTTTTCAGAATTTGGATTGTCAGGATTATGAATTTCTGGTGGTCTGACATTAAATGAACATTATTGATTAAATTGTTTTTTATAAGCAGAATACTTCACTAAATATAAATATGTTTACAACTTTTCCCTGAAATTACTAATTGCTTTCTTCTATAATATGATGCCTTTTTTAGTAAAGGAAAAAATATATTTCACTTTTGTTTCTGTCATCCTGTACCTTTCACTTTATAAGTAAAAAAACCCTATATATTCCATAAATCTCTGTTTTGTTTTCTATAACTTATTCTATACCAGTGTAGTACCTGACATGTGTTTGTTTCTTAGGCAAACGTGTAAAACTCTTCAAGTCCGAATGGAGAAGTAGAAAAAAGGAGGTTTCTGCTGTGCCTGATGACAATTTTTGATTTTTCCACACACAAAAAATATTCTGGCTCCACGTTGGAGCACTAGTTGTGATGAATCCTAGTCTTGGTCGGATTCTAAGGAAGGGCCAGAAGGTTCGTTGAGGAGTAAAGAGTCAAAACCACTCCAGAAAATGTGTTCCAGCCCTGGTTTATTACTCACAGAGCAGCAGGTGTGTACAAATACAGGTTTCCACAGTCTTAACAGGATTTACTGTACTTTACTCTTGTCTATAGTTACATAGTGTGCTCCAAATGATCATGAACTGTGGGCTATTGTTAGGCAGATTAATTGCTTGTGTCTTAAGGAAAGCTGTTCAGGAGACAGTATACTCTAACACTAAATAGCACAGATATGTCAGCCAACTGCTTCCTGAAATCATCTGTCTGCCTTTAATTGTCCTTCTTCGATTATCCTGCCGTCAAGGGTAGGCCAAGTTCCTCGAATCTGAATGTACTATCAGTATGTGTCCTTGCACTGTTGGAAGTCAATCAGACACTGTAGAGATGGGACGGTATGATAAACTATTTAAAACAGAATAGAATGTTCTTGGTACATACACTTAAGCATTCTGTGCATTCATAGGCAACTGCATTGGACCACTCAAAATGCCAGAAAACAGTTAGCATATGAAAAATAGGAACTTGAAATATATTCTTAAAGACAGCTAGTTGTCGACTATTTTAAGAGCAGCGTTTAAGATACAAATTTTAAAGCAGGATTGCTTTAAAATCAACAGCTAATTTCCTACACCTTCAGCTTTAAAACTGGTTTAACATTTACTCAGGAGGGATGGTTTAGCTTAGTAAACTCAGTTTGTGTTCCAAACTCTTCCAGATTTACTGGCGGCAAGAGGAGGTTGGCTTGGATCTCATTTTAGTGTCACAGTTCCAGTCATGTATTCCTTGCTCACCAACAATTTCCTACTAAGCAACTGAGAAATGTGGGTGCACACAAAATTATGGTATTATGCCTAAACTGGCATTTTGGGACCCAAGAACTCTTAGTTTAGAATCTATTTGTTTTCTTGCCAATTGTAGGCCCTAAGGAAAATATTATGTGCAAATCTAATGTATAACCAATCTCAAATAGGCATGTTTTAAAATAGGCTTAAAAAGTTTACAGCTTGGTGTCTTCAGAGACATTAGATGCTTTAGAGCTATTAAGATACATTGGGAAATATCCTGTTTCATTGGCAGAGCAAGCTTATTTTATTGAAGGGAAGTGCAACTTTGAAGGAGATCTAGGATTTTCTCCTACAAACTTGGGAAATAGCTTACACCAACATTTTGTGAATTTCAATGGGGAAAGATGGCCACAGTTTCAAATGTGCTTAAGTCCTATTTTCAAAAGTGATTTAGGTCAGAATTGTAATATAAACAACAGCCTATATAACTGATTTTAGTTAGAGTCAAGGTCAGTTGTTCTCATCCAGGGCGTCATGAAATTCTTTCAGGGGTGCTGAGGGGTGCTACACTATGCTGGCACTGTTAGATATGCAAACATGTATCATGAGATAAACTCACTGCTCCGTGACAAGAGGTTGTATAGGCATCCTATGGCAGGCAGAGCTCTACAATCTATACCTATAGCTCTAATTAACTCTGCTTAGCACAAGCATGGCCAAAACTTGCTACACTACTTGTGGTTTGGGAAGTACAATGTGTGAGGAGTATTTCAGCATGGTGCTTACTGGCATGGTAAACTAGTGGAATTGATGTATCCTCTGCTTTTTACTTTATTAAATCAAGTTTACTATCAAGTTTACCTCTGAAAAATGTGTTAGAATAGCTTTAGAGTTTCTAAAGCCTTTGAAGCACTGTCTGAGCACCCAGATATCTGACTGCAGACTTAGGTTAGTCACCTAAATTGATGTGAACTAATTACGTAGTATATATGGGTATTGGTACCAATTTTTAGGCACCCAGGCTTGAACATTTTGGCCTTAATATCGCTTTGCTTCCAGTTTGCCATTGTTGAAGAGGAGTAGTAAAATACCTCACAGAAGTGTTGTAAAGCTTATCTAATTAACATTATAAAGCATGTTGAAAGTCTCAGGTAGAAGGTGATTTAGAAATAGTATTATGTCAGCTAATGCCTTCCAGGTTTACAAGTTGATCTTTTTCAGAGTGGATGAACATGGACAAGTGGCAATGCAAACTGTCATCTGCTTTCATAAACCACATATGAAGGATAGTTTATGACAAACACATTGTACAGATTTCAAAGTTCCAAGAAACAGTGCATATCCATCTGTTCAAAAGATTCGTTTCCAGGCTAGATCTTTATTTGCAAGAGTGCACAAAATGAAAATCCATCGACAGATGTTTGTTTATGGTTGTTTGGGCCCACACCAGTCTTGCATTCTAATACTACTGTTAGACTTGCAGAAAGAGAATGTGGTTATTCTTCCTATAGAAATGCATGATTAGCACAACTCATTCAGGTCCAGTCCCTGTTAAGAAAGTTTTGTAGAAGAAGCTAAGCCTATTTTATTAAAGTGTTTGTGATTTTGTAATTCTAACTATGAAAATGTGCATGTTAATTAGAAAGCTAAAAAAAAAGGGATGTGCTGTGTGCAAATAAGAAAGGCCTTTGTTATGGCAAGATTATGGAATTATGCCTGTATTCCTGCCTGTTATAAATATAAGGCTTATAAATTCTTTTCACAAGAGTAAGGATTTTCAGGAGATATTCCATACACATAGATATATGTGCTCTCATGAAGATATATTTCCATATTAGCATATTGCTCTAATGGGATTTTATCATGTTTGTCTTTTCTTCATATCTTTTAGAATTTACAGTAAGTACATTGCACATAAGCAGGAATGTTTATGACATTCCTCTTCCTTAATTTATCTCTTATAGAGAAAGGTGGTATAAATCTCTGTATCTTTGTTACCTAAGGTTATCCATTATAGGGCTTTCTTGCAACCTTTCTTTTGAAAAACTCATATATTTTCATTATTTTCAACAGGGCTTTGATATTTGACAGAGACACTCTTCAGCTACTAGGGGCCATTGCTTTTTTCCCCAGGCAATTCCTTGTCATGTTAAAAAGTACCCTTATGATGCACTGGAACCATCAGAGGGTTGCCAAATCCATTGTAGTAGAACCTGAGAGAGAATAATTAATTGGGGTTTCCCAGTTTCCCATCACTTGCATTAATCCCTGGATTCTCCTTTTGCATGTGCCATTTTGGACTGAAGGTCTACCAACTCCTATACACGGGGAAGAGTGATATGACCTCACACCCCTCTCTCCTCCCACAGTGTACTTGAATCATGGTGAGGGCATTTAATTACATTATAATATGATTTGATTTTTCCTACAGAGTTCATTCAGTGCACAAGGTGGATATCCAAGGTGCAAAATTAAGGGCAGGAATAAATTTAACAAATACTTAATCTTTGAGTACTTGGCTTGCAACCTAAATAATTTTATTTTAGTGTAGTTTTTGTGTATGGAATATTATGTATGGTAAAAAAAAAAGCTTTGTCAGTCAGAAAGATGACAGTGTACAAACACTGTACATTGTAACAAGCAGCTGATGAACAAGGAATGTTTCATTACTCCCTGATTTCAATATATTGTGTGCTGTTGGCTGATTGCTTATTTTATGTTATAAAACCATAAACTAAGAATAATTAGATGCCTCAGTTATATTTATAAACAATCCTATAATTAGTAAATAAATATAGAGGTATTTGTTACTCTGAAGAAATAAAGTATTATAGATAAACACACCGTACCATGTGTTTAACTGTTAACTATATCACTAGACCTAATCTTGCAACTCTTACATGAGTAAATGACACTAAAGATGTGAAAAGACATTTGCAGGACCTACCTTAGGTTTAGGCAGTTTAGTTTAAACTGCCTCAATCTGAGCTGGGATTGACATGAGCAAGCATTTGGTGCTTGCCAGGAGGAGACATGGGCAGCTGGTGGCAAGTGAGTCACGGAGGAGGGCTGGCAGGTCTGTAGAGGGAGTTAGTGGGGGGGGGGAGG